TGCAGACCTGCGTGAGGACAGCCGGGCGGGGGGCAGGCACACTTTCTGGATGGCGGGCATGGTTCCAGGGACCCCACGTGCCCTGACCGGGAGCCCCGGGCCATGGGGGCCTTTCCAGCTAGGAGTGCCCCTGTCCCCGGGTGGGTGCCGGTTGCTGGGCCAGGCCTGTCACCTGGGGTTGTTGGCTGGGACTCTAGGTGAGCTGGTGCGAGGTTGGGGTTGGCCTGGGGAGGAGAGCAGAGTGCCTGCAGGATGGCCTAAGGTAAGCGCATCCCCCCCACAAAAAAGCCGGGAGTGAGGGTCCACCCCAGCTGCCCTTCCGTGGTGAGCAGCCCCCCACTGTCCCTCCCAGGGGCAGACAGGTGAGCACCTGGCCTCGGCCTCTGAAAGAGGGTCAAGCCTGCAAGTCAGTCTGGTGTCGGGGCTTCTGGAACCTGCCAGGTCTCCTGCCCCACTGTGCAGAGCTGACCAGGACAGCGAATTGTCATAAATGGCTGCAGTGTGGCCACACGAGTGGCTTCCTGCGTGACCCGACCAGTCCCTCCCTCTCTAAGCTCCCTCCTGAGATGATAACTGCTCGGCACAGTGGCCCCGGGACCAGAGCTGCTGACAAGCCTGTGGGCGTGAGCTGGAGGGGCACAGACCCAGCCTGCGCTGGGCTTCTGGGGAGTTGTTCCTGGACACCCTGCCCCAGGCCGCCTGCCTGTTCTCTGGGTGGGATGCTGGGGCCACTTCACGGATGAGAACGCCAAGGCCAGGACCAGTCACCCCTGCCTGCCTTGGCTACCTCTGGCCACGTGGCATCTCGGGGAGGCGAGGCCAGCAAGGCGCAAACAGCAGCCCCGCTCTGCCCGGGGCCTCTTGCCGCCCGCACGTAGCCAGAGCTCTGGGCCCCATGTCTCATCCTCATGGCTGTGCTCTGTGCTGTCCTGGGGGCCAGGACCAGGGGAACTGGCCTTCGTGGAGTTGGCCCACCTCTTGCCATCTGTGAACTTGGGCAAGTGGCTCCGCCGGGGCCACCTTCCTCGGCTGCCGTGAGGATCAGGTGTGCCCTGACCCGGTCCCTGGCACACAGGGGCTCGGGAGAAGCTGGCCTGCTTCCCCACCCAAAGCACGGAGCCCAGCAGGCTGTCTGCCCCATCACGGGCCTGGCCCGAGGGCGTCCGACAGCCAGGAGCCCACACGTGGCTCTCCAGCCCTCTGTGTACACAGCTTTGGCCCCACCAGACTCCCTCTGTGGGTACGGGACTGTGGGCAACACCCCACCCACGGCAGGGCCTGGCATCGTGCCTCCAGCTGCAGCCTCCAGAAAGCCTCCCTCTTGGGCTGCAGGTCCTGGGGGAGCGCTGTGCCCTCCCCAACCTGCGGACTGCGATGCGGGTGGCCTGGGAGCTGCGTAGGCGCCGATGGGGGCGCGGGGAGTGCCAGCTGCAGGGGAGCACGATAAGGCGGGTGGAGGACTCTCCAGCGGGCACCAGGGGAGGCTAGGCCCGTCTTATCACGCAGCCAGCTGTGCCCTGTGAGAGGCCGCTGCCCCTGAGTCCCATGTCCCCAACCCAGGGAGCAAGGAGGCAAGAGAGACCCGAGGTCCGGCCCTGCTGAATCCCTCTGAGACCCTTGGTGCTTTCCCAGGCCCAGCCACAGGTGCACCGGGAGGTGCCCCCGCCCTCTCCCCCCCCCAACCTGGCTGCTTCTCTGCCCCCTCTCCTGTTATCACAGCTTCCAGAGGCCGGGCCTGTGTCCCAGGCTCGGCCTTCTCAGCTCTCAGGCACCCACCTGGAGCATGCAGGGACAGAGAACAGGGAGGCGGGCTCCAGGTGCCAGCCCCTCCCCACCCCTGGGCTTTGCACAGGTGGCCTCGCGACCCTCTGCGGGCAGGTCCAACGTGAGGCCCGTTCTGAGGAAACACCCAGCCTCAGCACAGCCACCTCCTCACGGTCCAGCCATCAGGGGCCGACCCCTCCGGAACAGAGGCCAGGAGAGCCGCTGGAAACCCAGGCGTTTATGTGTAAATAAGTGGGGTGGCTGGGAGCCTACTAGTCTGGGGGCCCCGGGCACCCCCAGGCCCACATTAGGCACATCCTGCCCAGGTGAGGGGCCAGCCCCATAACTGGACAGTGTGTGGAGCAGCGCTGGCCCCTCTCCCAGGAGCCCACGGGGGCCACAGCAAGGCCCAGCTGAGCCGCCCCGCCCCCTGCGCGCCCGCGGCTCGAGCGCTGTCTGCCGGCCAAGCTCCCCGGCCAAGCTCCCCGGCCACCCTTTCCCACCGCGGCCCAGCCTGGGATCTGTC